CGGCTACCGGGCGGCATTTTTCTCCGGACAAGTCGCGGTGACCGGAGAACAAGTGCAGCCATCCCCCACCCCCGGGGCATGGCAGAAACCTACGGGTGCCCCATTCGAAATTCTGCCAAAAACAAACACACACGTGTTCCCCCCTACCGTCCCAAAAATATACAATACAAACAAACCTACAATACAAATCCTACTACAGCTAATGGCCTCAGTTGCCGAAGCTTAAGATCAAAAAAAAAAAAAAAAAAAAAATATATATAAACTGTTGCAGAAAGATAATAATTTTTAATCTTACAAAAAATATACTTGGCTGAAGACTGTTAATATAAATTCTATTAAATATTAAAATAAACATTTTATCAAACTTTCTAGTGTCAAGGAATATTATTTTTAAGTAACAAGAAAATAAACAAAGTTTTTTCTGGAATTTCTGAAGAATTAATATAAAGTAAACGCAAATAAGTATAATTTTAAATTTTCTGACAATACTAAAAGATTTTTTTAATTGTACTCAGAACTTTAAATTAATTTTCGATTATAGTTTGGTAAGTATAAAAATATTTTTAGTGGCGAATTTTAAAATTGTGCAGGGTTATTCGACAGTTCAACCATAATTCTAAATGCAATTCTATCATAGATTCAAGGATAACACGACTTTGAAATTATACAAAGTGGCACATTATTATCACACAGTTCCGAGTTAATGCATTTTTGTATTAGATTCAAATTTTGTGATGCCATCCATTATTGAACTCTTGTTTTAACCCAAAAAAATTAAGTAAGGAACTATGTACCTAATTATTATCATATAGTTATAATATTTTAATAATATAAAACAAATACATGCATAACATTATTATAATAAGCAGATTTGTAAGAAAAGGTCCCAAAAATGTCCATTTAAAAAACCTTAGCATTAAAAAAAAAAAATGGCATTTTATGGTAGGTATATCATTATTATTAATATCGGTGTAAATTTATACATATTCGAATGTATGATATTGTAATAACAAATGCACTTTTAGAGCATTATGTTGTGAATATTGGGTCAAGTTATGCATAGTATATTTTGCTCATGTTTATATTGTATACTTTATACGTACAACGTTGGTTTGTTAAATATAATATACACTACAATAATGCCAGAAATCACATTTAATTATCTTATAATATTCTCATCGTTTTTATAACAGACAGTTTGAATTGTTTTGCATGAATACAACTGTAATAACATACCGATGGGCATTGCAGCAGCTAACCAAAGAATGCCACTGGACATTATATATATATTATTAAAATAACAAAATAACATGTAGGTGGCTATAAATACAAATCACGCCACCAAATAATTATTTGTATTACCTGTATAATACCTATAGAATACCATACTATCAAATATTATAAACATAATTATAGTAACTATAAATATAAATAATAGTTGATAGAAATATCACAAAAGGAATTACATCTACGTACGCTGCTACACTCCAGGGTAAATAAAAAAGATTCTGAAAACGAGGGTTTCACGCGCATGCTAACCAGGTTCATTAAAAACGACTGCATTATAGTTTTGATTTGTTCTATTCTACCTATATATTTTAAAATAATAAACAAGGGGTGGCTTGTAGTGCTCTATGTTTAAACTATTAAACAATATAACAAAAAAATATATAATAGGTACCTAATATTATGTATTATAGTAGCATTATTAATGTTTTCTCGAGCACCAATCATACGTCTTTCATTGAATCTGTATCTGATGTTCTTATAATTATACACTAACTACAAACCAGTGACATTATATTTGGGTTATAATTATTGGTCACTGTTAAAAGTGGCTTAGTAATTTGCATTGTTATAACATCGATTTGTATTCTATACAATAGAATATAACTATGAATAAATAAACTTGTTCGTAGTATTGGTCAATTTGGTATTTATGACAAAGAAAGTAATAGCTACTCATCATTACATTACAAGAAGAATATCCCTAAAAAGAAATATTAAGTTTAAACTATTGATATTAAACATTTAATATTATAACAATATTGCGTTTCATAAAAATAAATGCATATTTAAGACATTTTACAATTTTTTAATTTATAATATATTATAATGTTATGAAGATCGTGAATTGTACCAACATATAAACAAAATTAGATTGATAAGAACAATGTTTACAACATATTATAATAATATAGTTGTTAGGCAATTCAATTTGTCAGTTATAATTTTTACACTCTAAACTAGTTTAAACAAAGAATCTGAACATAATTTGCAAACGCTATCTTATAATTCGTGTATGAATAGTGAATATGGATGTAATATATAGCTAATATTAGTTAGAAGAACCCGGAAACACTAAGATATTTGAGTTAACCGATTAGTATAGCTCAGTCGATTTAAAAATAGCTGTTTATGGACGGTAATGTAAAATTGTTCGGACACGACGACGAAAATACCGCAGTGTGGCAGGTCTCTTAAAAAAAAATCGAAAATACGTTATAAAATAAAGAATTGTGTATAAATTAAATTGCAATAAATAGTTGTCATTTAAAATAATATCACTACGTCTACACTGCATAGTCTACATATCACCATAATATCAAATCATCAAAATAGTATAATAGAACTACAACAACTATAAAACATACAATTACTAAGTAACAATTTCCCGATGAATAGTTGTTTAATATATTTAATTTAGGTAATATTTAGTTCAATATATTGGTAATTTCTATAATATATGGTGTGCATATATACAGTATGCAGTATACAGTAGTTATAAGAAATGAGAATTAAACCATTCATAAGTTAAGATCGATACTTCTCATACAATTTACACATACGTAATTCACTGACATTTATAATAAATCATATACAATTTAAACCCAAATCATGTTTATACAATATGTTTATTCATAATTCTGAGATTATAATATACTCGAAATTAAGATAAGTCATTGTCAGCTACTGTTAACAAAATATTATTTACTGGTACATACAATTATGACACAATAATACAGTGTTTCCCAAAGGATGTGCCGCGGCACACTAGTGTGCCGTGAAATTTGAAAGGTGTGCCGCGACAATTTGAACTTTTTTTTTATAAAAAAACATAAAATGATTTTTTCAAAATATTAAAATGTATAATAAAAATTAAAATAATTAATACAAAAATTAACTTTAAATTTACAAATAAAAAGATATAATTATAAATTTTAGTGTGAAACGTGTGCTTGATGTTGTTTGCATAATAGTTCAATTCTAGTTCTATGATATTCTGTGATATATAAAACGATAATAATAATGATAATCATACCCGACATCATTATATACCTATTATTCGATAAGTATATAATATTTATCCAAAGTGTGCCGTGACTTATAAAAACTAATAATAATGTGCCACGATGGGAAAAAGTTTGGGAACCGCTGCAATAATACAATAAATGGATACTTTTTTAATTTTTTATGCAATATTATAATAATAGCACTATACTATATAACTATTTCAGTTATCTATAAGCCATAATATCAGTTTAAGATGTGTTTATATGTACCTATAAATGTATACAAATGTATACACTTACCTCGCCTACTCGTATTGTTTCTTTACTATTATCAGTTAAGACTGCTGCACTTGTAAAAAGATCGTTTTTGTTCTATTATCTAACATAATATTAAATTAAATCGAATAAACTGCTGTCACATTCTCAGCCATTACCAGGTCTTATAAATGTACTGTTTATGTTATATGTTGACCTCAATCAATTCCTCTAAACAAATATGTACTCCCAACAAAAATTAACAGTTGACCTTTTCACTTGATTCTCAACTAACTTTAGCACAAACTAGACAGTCTTATTAGTTATTACTATTGTAGTATTTTAGCTGTTCTAAAATCATCAAATATTTTATACCGATCATCATTATTGTGACTAAAATCTCTAACAGAGTCCCACACGCTATATTTTTTAATAATATATAATAACTAATTTTTAATTATTTTATAAAATAACTACTAATTAGGTATATATATATATGATATATATGTTAACTTTATAATAACAAGGTGACTTTATCAATGCATGTTGCATAATATACCTACAGAATATAATATATACTATATACTTATGTTTATTTTATACACAAACAGTAATCTTTCTAGTAGCATATTGTAATTGTGCATGGAACATTCATTATTATAATATATTATATATATATATATAGATACATAACAACTATAATAAAAATGACGGCCAGTTTATACATAATATGTAGGTACCTACAGTTTATGAAAGCGAATACAAAAGCAAAATATGAAATATGTTGAATACTTTAAATGCGTATTATATTATTTTATAAAATAACTGTATTTATTAATACAGGTAGCGCATGTAGCTTTACTATTTTTTTTTATCAATAATTATTAACTAAAGTCTGAAACGAATAGTTATTCTACATGTAGGTATTAACTTACTACAACACTATTAACAGTTATTATATTATATTATTATGCATTCACTGAATTGTATGTGCATTTCGAGTAACATACAGGTAAGTTGAATACAATATAGTATACAAGAAGCACTATCTTTTTACATCGTTTTAGAACTATCTATTTTAATATATTTTCAATTGTATGATGCTCGTACTAATTAGGGACATATAATTATATAACGATGGTTTTTTAGGTTTTAATTTATTTAACGTAAACCAATAACTTAAATTTAATTATTCAACATTTAGAATACTTATTTTTAAATATTTATAATATATAACTACCATCAAGTATCGAATATTCATATCATTCTTTTAGTTAATATTAATATATGGCACTGTTTTATAAACAGATGGGAACATAATAGAACAGTGAACAATATACGTACTACAACTATACTAGTATATACTACTATATTGAATGCTCACTGTAAAAACAAATATTCACCTGGTAAATATATAGAAATAACGTTATATTATGTTCAATAAAGACTTACGGTTTATTAGTCTCGCATGTATTGTCTTTGGTCACTTTACAGTTGTTCTTGAAGTCATCGAATATTCGTCGGCAATCAGGCGACGATTCACAAACAGTCAACGCGTGGTTGCACGAAGCCAGTGTTTCGATGTGGAACTGGTCGTATTCTGAGTAAACAAAAAATTACCATGATATTAAAAACTTTGTATTAAGTTCTAGTTGTAGAAAATGAATAAGGTACTCAAGAACTGAATATTAATATACTACGCAACAACTGAAGAAAAAAATAATAATAATCTGCAGTTAGTACAATAAAATATAAGTATGTAACATTTATTGAATATGGCCATATGGGAAAGCTATTGATTCACCGACACCCACAACACACGCAAGCTGATAACAAATACGAGATTCACAAAAAACTTTGAAGAAATACTAGGGTAATCACTAAATTATAAAAGTAAAAAAACTGGGGGATGCGAATGACAAGATCCGATTTACTCCTCCCTATCATTTAACCAAGAAACACCTGCATAGGCTGCATAATGTAACGTTCACTGGTGAATAGTTTTTTTCTCAAAGAAAAATAGTGGAACACTTTATTATACACAATAGACACTCTGTAAACATATCATACTTGTATATTATTATACAAGTGAGACCAGGAAACTTAAAACATTCAAATTAAGAGTATGTAGGGTGATGTGTAAAAGTATAATAATAGTATAACATTGAAATAGTTTATAATTAACTAATTAACTTTAGCTTCAACAACGTCTGAATGCATATATTTATATGTGTATAATACATACATAATGTAAATACTGTAAATATATTATGTGCACTTATTATATTATATACCTAGCTAGATGCCAGTATTATATGTGTCATTTATTCCAAAATATTTGGTTTGGTTATTTTTTAGTATCAATAAAATGTCAAATGATTACGTGAGGCCAGCTAAAAGTCTATCCATGTATTACATAAACAAATTATTTAATCAATATTCTATTATATGATAGTATACGCAGAACGCCACTTGTTGGTTGATTTTTTTTTTGTTAAATGACCATCAATAGGTCACAAGCGTCACGCAAATATTTAAAACATCTATAGTCCACAATATGTATAATAAATGTCTTTATCGATTATCTTATTCAGAAACATACTGTTTAAGTGAAGTGGTAGCAAAACACAGCTCATTTACGATAATGTATCAAATTTTATAATTGATTTGTATTTTACTCGAAATTAAGTAAGTTTAACATAATATTAATACATTCCTACATCATATTGTATGCAATAAAAATATAAATAAAAAAAAATCATCTATATGACTATCCACAAATGACGAAACCAGAAAAATTGTTGTGGGGGGAGGCTGTAAAAATATTTCCCTGGATCAAGGTCGTAAGAAAAATATTAAATACCATTTCATAGAAAAATATCAAACTTTGCAATTTAATATAATTTATTTTTATTTTTAATAGTCTTATATCAATATTTTTAATGTACAAATTGATCCATTTAAGTGATTACACTCATCAAACAAGAACTGTATCAGTTATAATAGTGGGTATTTAGAGTTTAGATGAGTAGAGTTATGCGGGGAACCACTGTGGCAATCTACTCCACTAATTTAAACTTTAAATACCTACTCTTATTAGTCATTACTGATGATAAGCTACAAGTTAAAAAGCCAATTTTTTTGTCAAAATACTCCGAAAAAATATTTTTCTTTGAAGTATGAAACACAAAACGGTTAGGTGGATATCACTCTGCTGTACAGTAGGTTACAAATGGGTCACTGGAATGGATGGTGTTCAATTTGAATTCAATGATATAAAATATTTGTATACCGAAAACGATTCTGAGTTAAGGTGGTCTATCAGCCTATGATATTACTTAAGTACTAATTTAGTAGGTAGGTACAGTGCCCCCACAAGGGGGGATAAGCTGATAGACCTTGAATATAGGAGCCCAGAAGCCTGTAAGGCCCGTTGAAATTTATTTGTAATTTGTAATTTTTAATTTTGACCTCTCTTATGCACCAACTAGATTCACTTTACCACAGGAAAAGATACTGAAGTTGAATATTGAAGCATTATTTCGACTACTTTGACTACTTTTGACTATACAGAAAAAATAAACAAAAAAAAGTTCACACATCGTTGTAAAATCAACAAATGCACCTAACCGCTCAGAATCTAAAATGATAACAACAAACAATTGTTTCAAAAATTTTGTTTTGCAATGTCATCAAAATATCAAAAATAAAAAATATTTTCAAAATAACAAGGGAGGTCACAAGTAGAGTACCTTATACATTTATAACGATAGAAAAATAATAATTTGATGTAGAAATCAGTTTTCAAATTGTATTAAAATAAAATATTAAAAACAATTAACAACTTAAAATGGTTATAATAATAACTCAAAAATAGTTAAAATATTTATTTAATCATAATATTATGTGTCTGGATAATCCTAACATTCAATTGAATGATTGCACTTTGGTAGTAGTAAAGTATATACGGTTAAATATATTGATTTATAACAAAATTAGTTTTGTCAAAAACTTATAAATTAGTTAAGGTCTTAATAGTGATAAGGGTTTATTTTTTATCTTGAATCTTAAAATACTTTGAAAATTAGTGGTAGTTTTATCTCCTAAGGAACCAACTAGAATACATTTTTTACCCGAAACCAACTTCAATGTTTAAGGCTGAAAAATTTCTTTTTAGCCCCGAAAAGCAAACAGACACAAAAATAAATAAAATACTCGTAATACACTCATTATTTTGAAACCATTAACTGATAGTATCATTTTTCCAAACAATTAACAAATGTGTCATTGATAAGTAAGGAAGAAATATTGAATACAGATGTAACAATATATTTTAATGTATTGTTAATAGTACATTATAAATTATATTTGTTCTTAATATAAATAACGTTCCAAATTAATCTAGTATGCACTAAATTAATTCCAAAAATTAGTTGTTAAGTTATTGCAGTCATTTTCGATAAAATATTAAGTACATAACATAGGAGCTATAATATTTATATAACAGTGAAATACGATGGACCGTCAGGGCGTAACACGCTAATAATTGTATTCTTTACTTATCCATAGACCATAATAGTATATATAGATTCAAATATATAGTATAATACTAAGTCCAACCATCCACCATTACTTGTCTGCCATAATAATATAACAACAAAACTTAACAATGGTATATAGGAAGAGGGGAGTTAACATGTTTTTCCGGCGTAATACCTTTACCAACCACATCGAATTATAAGTATTATAAAGGAAATTTAATTATAACCGACAGTAAAAATAAGCGTTAATGGAAATCGTTTGTTTGTGTATTATTAAATAGACAAGATTTTAACCGGTGAACCATGACACTATAATAATATACATTACCTACACAACTTTGTGTAACTGTTATTTTCATTTTGCTGAGTGTTTTAATAAAATTATTTTACTACATGAATTTTGGTATTAACACTCATTAAATGCATACATGTCCCTATCTTTAACTGTGGTAATGGAACGCATCGGTGGTCAACTCTGAATTATTAAATTTTAAAACTATATCGTCAAATCAAGTTCTAGGCAGTAGAGTGTGTATCGCTTATGGGTACATTAAGGATTTTACTTACCATGAATATTTCAAAGGTACAGCAGTCAATGTGTGCAATATTTATAATCATCATCATAAAATGATATATCATATTATTTTGTACTAAAATAAAAAATCTATATGTTCACATTATATGATAGAAATGTTTACATATTATTTATATAAAAATCGAACCCTTTGTAACATTTTAATCAAACATGTAATACCTAATATTAAGCAAGAAAAGTTAAACATAAAATAATTTTGAGTAAGTAGGTATTAGGCATTTGTAGGTTGCTACAATAGCAACTTATGAAAAACCCTGTACTTCACACATTTTCAATTCTTAGCCACACACATTTTTAATTTTAAGAATTTTTAAATTCAAAATAATTTACAAATGTTTGTCTTTTTAAAGTCATTTTACAAAAATGTGTACTTCAAATACTTATAAAACAAAAATAAGTGATGATGAATTATTTAAATATTATTAATTTAATTTAAACATTTGTGCAATTTAGCATATTATTTTTTTTTATCAAGGTATATAGGAAAAAAACTTATTAAATTCGAAAATTAAAAAATGCTTATAAATAGATTAAAATTAGTCTTAATATTTTAAAAAAATACTTCAAGTATGTCTAATACACGTTATTATAAATATATGGTAAAAATGAGTTATTGAAGTTTCAAATTAGAAAAAAATAACTAATTCGATTTATTCAAAAAATAGTATTATTAAAGAATAATAAATTATCTTCATAGTTCATAGCTGATGTTTGTAGCATTCAACATACCCAAAAGTGATTTTGGACACAACAAATAAACACACACAAATTACACATTATTGTAAAATCAATACACAAAATTCTACTCAGAATATAAAATATAACATATAACATCGATGTCATTAAATTTGAATTGCGATTTGATTTTGATTTTGAAGAAATAGTTGTCAAAATGACTTTAAAAAAAAGTTTTTCCCAAAATATATGGTATTAAAAATATGTGTTGATATAGAAAAAAACATCTTTTTATCAATAATAAAACATTTCTGACTACTAGAATTTTCACAGCTTAACGTTACTACAATTTATAAATAACATTTTATTAAATGATCCGACTTAAAGGTCGTATGAAGCCATTTATTTACGTCTATACGCATTTAATACCACCGTAATCGAAAACTAAAGTGCTGCAAGTAATTGATCAAATTAATCTTTAAAGAGCTCATTTATATTGCGTAATAATATTATTTTATACTATTATATTATATAATATAAAAATATTTACTGAATACTTAGAACTCGGCCGGTCGATTGATCGTATTGTTATACAGTAGTTATCTAGGTATTTGCCTTAATTCAGTTAACCTTAAAAATTGATTGTAAAAGCTATAAAATATTCAAAATGAATTAGGTAACTTATAAATGGTACAAGTTAGACAACATCAATGACGTTATATTCAGATTACGATTTAATATCGTTTGTATTTATGATTATTAAAATTAATAATAAACAAATAAACTAAT